CAACCCTTGGTGTCGCGCCCGCACCGCGCTCAGCCAGTGAGCAGACCAGTCTCTATATGGGTTCCGAACCCTCGGCAGGAGTGCCGCCGCACTCCCAAGTGCCACACTCTACCGAGTGCGCCACCGGGCCGGCCCTCACTTTATCTTTTAAAAAATTTTTATTTATACATATATGGGGTACAAAGTTGACTATCAGTATTTGCATACAGTACGTGATGATCAAATCAACATTATTAGCATGCTCATCCTTAGAAATCATAATTACCTTTTGTTTTTACCCAGTGACTCCCTATGCCCCCTTACCCTCCCCCTTTCCCACCTGTAGTAACTATAGATCTGTTCTCTCCTTCTGAAAGTTTGTGAATTCAATGAAGTTAGTTTTTAAAAGCTGCTTGGGATAATTTCAAGAATGATTTGTATGAAGTGTTTTCTGCCCTTTCTTATGACAACTCTTGACCTTCCAAAAATACACAAAACACTGATCACCGATGAAAACTTTTAGCATTCTTAATCTACCTGAGAGATTCCAGACTCTCAGAGAAGAGTTTTCAAACTAACATCCAATAGGTAAGTGAGATATAACACAATAAATACTTTTATAGTCCTTTCTCTTCCATGCAGTAGCATTATTGCCAAGTATTTGCTTACCCTTTTTAAAAAAGCTGAACTTCTCAAACTTGGCACCATTGCCTTTGTTGTGGGGGGCTATGCTGTGCATTGTAGGATGTTTAGCAACCTCCCTTGTCTCTACCCAGTAGATACCAGTAGCACCAACCTCTAGTTGTAACAACCAAAAGTGATTCTTGACATTGCCAGATTTTCTTGGGGGAGTGAGGTGGGAGGGGCAAAACCACCCTGGTTGAAAACCACTGCTCTAAAGTTTTTGCCACACTCTAGTTTTCACTCCAAAAATAAGTTTAATCAGTACCCAAGGCAAAGAAGAAAGAAAAGTCTCCTCTTGTGCCTCTTGTGTTCTAGCTTAGGCTCATCCAGTATCAAGTGCCATCTTAGCCAGGTGCCGGGAACCAGAAGCCAGACAGACCTGGGAAGGGGTTTCCGCTGCACACCGCACTCGGTCCCCAGGCCAGCTCTCTCCTTTTTTCCTGGGGCGTTCTAAGACAATGGCTGACTTAATCATTTCCACTTACTCTTAGCTTTGACTCCCATGCTCAGGAACATGTCTAACATCCAGGATTCTACTCTTTCCCCTATACACACAACGTGAATCCTTTTAGAATCTCCTCCTAAAATAATAGGACAAACATTAATTTTATCCCAAGGGACCTATACTGCTATTCCAAGAAAGAAATCAGCATATGAAAAAAGATGAGAGGCAAAGTGTTAACAGTAGGTTATGCCTGGGGGAGTGGCTTGTGAGTGCCTGTCTATTTGTATTTTGTAATTTTTCTATAATAAATATGGATATTTTATCATTTACCTAACTTTTTAAAAATTTTTAAAAATTTTTTAATTTTTTTGTTTTTTTATGTGACCGGTAAGGGGATTGCAACCCTTGGCTTGGTGTCACCTGCACCAGCGCTCAGCCAGTGAGCGCACCG